TCCAATACATGTATTCGTACTTAGTTTTATAAAGATAGTCCCATATACCGCAAATTTTGACGAGAAGTAATTCCAATTTAAAATGAGGCAAGAAATTCACTTCCATTATGTATTTTGGTTTATACGTTGCTTTCTAAATATCTCACGACTTTGGTTGACCACGTCTTGGAAAAATATGAGGGATTTATTTCTTTTCTTAAATACAAACATAACATTCTAAAGCTTTCTTTAAGTAATAATAGATTTCAATAACGTTTATTGAATAAAACGTTATTAGGTATTTATTTTCTTACTAAATTTTTAATTTCTTTGCAGTTATGACATTGCTTATTCTTTTGTTGTGAAAATGCCCAAGAAAATTTCTATTACAAAAGGTCAAGTTTATATTACTGACCATTCTGCATATATTAGCTCACACAATATTGTATTCATCATTTTTTTATATCATTTGTCCCCTTTCCCCAGCTATTTTCTGAGGTGTACAACATTCATACACTTTTGGGTTACTAAATTAAGGCACCTATTCATAATTTATATGTTTGAGTGATATAATTATCAAAAATGGGGGACGAGCATCATTTTTTAAATGGTCTTTAATGGAATCATATGGTAATTAATACTTTATTTGTAAACTAGAGTCTCACAAACCCATAACGGCGTAACGTGGACCCGAAGCAGGGGTGGATTAAGGTCAAGGCAACCTAGGCACGTGGCTAGGAACCTTACTTGGTCGATGCTATGGCTCTAAATCAGAATTTTACCGCTGACTACAAGGTTGATCATAAATTTTTTCTTTGAGGTGTTAATTTTAAAACCAATTGTTTTTGACACTTTATAGAGCGTGTGCAGCTTTTTTGTAGCTTTATCAACTATATCAGATATTAAAACGATGTCATCGGCAAATCTTAGGTGGTTTAGATCTTCCTCATTTATATTAATTTCGATATTATCCTCTCCTTCCATTTGCTTGAACATATATTCAAGAACAGCTGTAAAAAATTTAGGGGAGATAGTATCACCCTGTCTAATTCCATGTTCTATTCGAAACTTCTTGGTATCTCCATGAAGGCTGACACAAGCTGTACCAGTTTCGTAAATACTTACTGCTGTAGCTGAAGCTGTACCATCAAGGCGATATATCGGTAGGCAATGCTCGAATCATTTTATGATGATCTATAGTATCGAAAAATAGGCTTGTTATACTCTGTACACTTTTCTATTATTATTATAACTTGTAGATGATTATTTGTTCCGTATCTGGATCGAAAACATAGCCTGTTCACAAGGTTGGTAACTATCCAGTTTGTTCACAAGCCGTTTTGTTATTATCTTCATGAATAGTTTGTATGTATGGAAGAGCAAACTAATAGGTCTGTAGTTCTTTAGGTCTGAAATGTCACCTTTTTGTGCATTATGGTTATTATTGCATTATGCCACTGGGAGGGGGTTACGCCTCTTGTCAAACAAGCATTGAATTTCTTTTTCAACACATTTACTAACGTTCCTACTCCTTCTTTGATTTGTTCAATGACTATCCCATCTTCTCCAGGTGATTTATTGTTTTTCATGTCCGATAGAGCTGATTGTATTTCCTCTGTTGTGATATCTGGGATGTCTTCTGAGCCTACATTTTAAACTTTTGGTATTTGATTTTTATCAGGATCTGGAAGTTCTTCTTGCTTATACAATTCTGAGTAAAAATCTTGAGGAATTTTTAAAATATCTTCCTCATTTGTTGTAGTTTCTCCTTTTTTTATCTACAAATTTACAAATATTTTTCGATCCTTCAGTCATTTGTCGGCGCAGAACCTTTAAACTTTGATTTTTATCAATGGCTTGAGTTATGTATTCAGTATTGTAATTTCTTACATCTTTTCGAATGCATTTTGTGATATCTTTCTTTAACTGTCTAAGTGTTACAAAATTATCTGTGTAGTTGTCTTTCAATTCTCTTCTTTTGTTTATAAGATCTTTAGTAGCTTGAGTGAGTTTATCCGTCTTGTTTTTTCCTTTTTTTTTTATATTTCTATGAGCGTTTTGAATAGCACCATTTATTCGCATGTTTATCACCTCTATATCTAATGCATTTTCATTTAGATGTTCTACTTCTTTCAGTTCTGAAGTTATGAGATTCTGATAAGCTACTCTATCTTCTATCGATTTTCATTTATTAGAATGCCTCTCTGTTATCATTGCTGTCCTCTCTCGTCTAATGTTGATCGTTATATTTGCCCTAACCTACCGATGGTCACTCGCAATAGTGATTTTATTAATTATAACGTCTTGGACAATATTTTTTCTGTTTGTGATGATGAAATAAATTTCGTTTTTTGTTATGGCATCTGAACTAGCCCACGTCCACTTACGTTATTGGTTCTTTTTGAAAAACGTGTTCATCACATAGAGCCGATGATGCTACAAAAAATGTAGTAGTACACCTTCTCTATCATCTCGCTTACCGTATCCAAATGAGCACATAGCCACTCCTGTGATATCTTCTTTAAATCCAAGTTTAGCGTTAAAATCGCCCATTAAGATTAGGTGGTGTGTTTTATCTTTTGCTATAGCTTTATTTATATCTTCATAAATATTTTCGATTTCTTCATCGCTATGGCTCGTCGTGGGTGCATATACTTGGATCATTTTATAGAGCGTCTCCTGTTCAGTTTTAATATGAGGTACACAACTCTTGACCTTACACTCTCTATTTTTTATAATTTTATCTAGGTGTTTCTTGTGCACGAGAAAGCTTACGCCGCCAACTGCTTTATAGTTTTCTCCATTGGAATGTAGCAGATGCCCTGATTTTAAAACTAATTGGTTTTCTCATTTTCTTCGTATTTCGGAAAGTCCCAATACATCCCATTTTATGTAGTTAAGTTCTTCTTGTAATTCAACTAGCTTATCTTCAGTTACAAGCGCTCTTACGTTATAAGTGGCAATATGCACTGTTCGTTGTCGATGGTAGCCGTGTATATCCCGGTGATTCTTTGCACCCTCTGCCCTTGGTCCAAACTGGTGGCTACCGTCACCAGGGACCGTTGGGCCGCCGGGGACTAAGGGCCGTTTTCTAGTTTGTGTCATGTCATTTACGGGGAAAATTAGATATTTCACTACCACGTGGGCCAGTGCGGGTTAGTAGCGGGATATATCGTAATGTGGTAAGGATTGAAAAATGGGTAGGAAGATAGGTTGGGGAACTGGCCTCTCCTAAAGGCTTGGACATAGGAGAAAGTCGGTAGCTGGCGTATGGCAGGGACGCCACGCGTATGGAGTGCTACCCGCTACCGCCCTAGATACCCGCCCTGAATATTGATTGCTCAATATTCACAGCTAAATTGGTAGCCATTATTAAGGCGTTGAATTGGATAATTAATAGCACATTATATTTTGAACGATATATAATTTTATCTCACAGTCCGTCCTCCTCGCATTAAGACACTTCTCTAAACACATATATTCCAATAGACTAATTATAGATGCGCTTGAAAAGCTAAGAATCCTAACTTCTTTAAAGAGAATTGTTAACTTTGTGTGGGTTAAAGGTCACTCTAACATTCCAGGCAATGAAAAAATAGACCATTTGGCTAAAGACGCTACTTTAGTGGGTATAGTATACAACGAGTTACCCAAATCGGATTTGGTTTCAGCTAGGAAGAAACACGTTAGACTTAATTGGGAAATTGAGTGGCAATCCTTTACTAATAGTAGCAAAAATTCGTACTGCAGTATATATCCAACTCTTCCATCTACTCCCCCAAATGACAGAAACTCCACCTCTCGGAAAATTTATACTATGTACGTTGCCTTTTTGGACATGCTACAGTAAACGCTAACCTATATGAAATAAAACTCTCCGAAACTGATATATGTGAATATAATGGCAGTTATGACGACCTTAACCACTGGATGTTTCAATGTCAGTATAATCAAGAAGCCATCAAATTTTTATTTAAAGCCATCTCTCAACAAACAATCAGACTACCGCAGAACGTTACTTCTAATCCGAAATGGTAGGACGTTAGTTGTAGTATTTCCCATTGTCTTTAGTTTATTTTTAGTTTAGTTTATTATAAAGATTTTCTAGACGAATTATGAAGGTCCCAAGCGCAATCTAAGAGCTTGAAAAATATTGAATAAGAAAAGGCTTGTTTTCCCTCTTTTTTGTATTTATTGTTATTTTACAGCAAGGAAACAATGGTAATAAATTAAAACATTTTTAACAGGCCCTATATTACAGAATATTGAAATGTAAGCTATTGTATTTTATTACGACCTTGTTACAAAATTAATCGTTTTAAAGTTATAAGCAAGGAGAGTATAAACAAATCGATGTTTTTAGTAATTTTTAAATACTTTAATCTTTTTATTAACGTTCCCGACCAATTTGAGAGAGAGGATAAGTAAATTATTATTACTGAAGTTATCTTATTATTACTGAAGACACACAACTTTTTCTGCCAAAATCTGAATGCCACTTCTCACATCCAAATTTTGTCGTTTTTTTAGATTCGTCCTGGTCTATAATATCTTTATCACAGAATAATAAACAATATTCTGTGTCTTTAGGCAGGGCAGACATTTATCACATGCTTCCTGTATTAAAAAAGGCAGTTTTAAGTATGACAAAGAATTGAGGATAGTGTTATACAGAAATCTTTTTGATTTTCTCCAAATAAATTTTACTGAATAAATAACTAATTTACAAAAGTAATGTTGAAAGCTGTTAATACTAAAATAAGTAGAATATAAACAATATAATTTATATCTATGACGTCATATTTCTTATTTAATTTTACATGTAGGCAACCAGTAATATCTATTACAAAATTTGAGTGTCTTTCTGAACATAGAATGATTAAATATTTTTTATTTAATCAGTCTATATCATACAAATCTTATGTAATCGCTTAATAACAAAGTTAGTAAATCTAGAAAATAATTCAAATTAAATTGATATTAGAATCAAAGATAGACCAAACAATACACCGTTAAAAAATGCCTAAAAGTACTTCCTGTTTTTTAGGTTTGTTAGATTTTCCTGTTTTTGTATAAAGTGATTATCAGTCATATACTCATATTTCACATTCCCGGGTAAATTGATCTAAGTACATGACAAAAAGTTATCATTGTGTTGTTTAAAATATAAAACCGGTAAGCATATATTTTTTAAATACCTACGTTCAACATCTCATGTTATGAAAAATTACACTGTGTTTTTAGATACCGAATATAAAAAAGTTTCCTACTACACGTGTGTTAACCAGTAAATTGTAAATTATGGATGATGATTGGGATGATGACTCTGGATCAGCTCCTATTCCCACAGTGGTATGAATTTTGTACATTTTATATATTTGTTACTTTAGTATAAAGATGTGTTGATGTGTTTTTATATATCGCTTAAAATGCAAAACTTAACCCTAGAACGCTTCTCTTATATTGCTTTTTGTAAAAATGTTATATTTATTCATTTTAAATGCTGCAGTTATAATATTGCCAAATACAAAAACCAAACGGTTTTTGTATGTGCTAATATTTGTGTCGCTATAAGTTTCATTTTTTTACATGATAGGCGCCAATGTCTTAGCTTGATAACAGTGGCCTTGGAACTCATAAAGACAGATCCTTTCTTTATAAAAATTTTTATTTGGCAACTCTTTTCCATCCTTTAACTTGGGTAGGTTTTATATAATCATCTAAGTTACTGTTCTTCTTGTGATTAATAAAATTACATTTTATATAAAACTACACTTTATTTTATATTTTGTTTTTGAAATTTCGACTTCCACTCTCAAAAAATAAAATAAGGGGGTTATACACTTGTTTGTGGTTGACCAAATTGACAGTCAACTCACTTAACTAATCTTGTAGGCAGATAGCCATGGTTTGAGTTGTTTTACCTCAGGGATAATATCAAATTCGGATATGTTGTGAGTTTGTGTTGTGTATTCTGTTTGTATAGATGCCTATATTCTTGTTCTGATTTCTTCTTTTAGTATTGACAACCAGAGACTGCTACATTCTGCTGATGGGTTTGATGCTCATTTTGTATGTATTGTTTGTATTGAGTATTATAGCTGCTTCTTTGTTTCTCGTTTGTCATGTTTGTTTTTTCTTTCATGGCTATTGATGCATCTTTCCATTGTACTTTATGCTCATTGTACCAAGCACATTTGCATACCTGTTGTCTGTAGGAGTCTCTGTTTTTATGTATGTTCTGTGCTTATTTATTCTGACACTTAGTGGTGTTGCAGTTTCTCCTACATAAAAATTGTTGCATTCACAGAGTATTTTATAGATCTCTGTGGTGTTCTTTAGTTTGTTTTTGGTCAGAATAGGTCTCAATATATTGTCATCTTTACCCAATCATATAAGCATTTCTGGATTGCTTGCTTATGTTGTGTTTACTTTCTTCAATATTCTGAAGTTTCTTGATTATAGTTGACAGAGGGTAATCATTTTTTATTAAAATGTTTTGCCGGTTTTTTTTCTTCATGATTTTGTATGCAGATTCCACATATTTTTTGCATGTTGTAAAAAATATTCTTAGTAAATTCTCTACAAACATAAAATGTCTTTCACTTTCTTTGAGGAGGTTCATCTTTTGCATTTTTGGCTTCTGGAGATTCTTTAATCTGCAACAGATCTTCCATACAGCTTTATAACTTTTTGATTAAATTATCTTTCAAACTATCTCTGATTAATGTATGGTATACTAAGGCTCTTAGCAAAGATTTAAGAAATTAACTAGGATCAATTGGTGTGAATTATTTATAGCTCTGATGTAAAACACTAAAACAGGCAAACATATTAGACCACTTTAGCAAAATAACAGAAGTTTTTTAATTTGATGTTCGAGTGTTTAACTTATATGGATGAAATAAGTACTACTACCTTATTTTTGTTGGGTACATAAGAAAGTAAAATAACATTTTCAAAATCTTCGTGTGCCATATTAGAATTATCAGGCAATAGGCAATGTCGGGCACTCTACATAACCAATTATATTTTCCTCAAGGCACGGCATCACAGTGTTAAATTTACTTTTACAAAATAATAATTTGTGTTATGAGAAGCTACAAATTTTAAATAAGTATAAAACTTGTCATATTTTTTTTTTGTAAAATGTATATGAAGGTTTAAAATATAAGTTACTTTTATGAAATTATAATTTGTATTATGAGAAGCTATAAGTTTTAAATAAGTATAAAACAAATAGTTTCTGTTACTTTAAATGTAGGTAAATATTGTAAATTATTACTTTCCAAATCTTATCTATTAGGACCTTATTATTAGGTGTTAGTTAGGTAAAATCTATAAATTTTTATATAATTTCAATGCATTTCTATTATATATGGTAATTTAATTAATACTATTAATTTTTAATATAATTTTAATCAGTTTTATTGTATATGCATTTAATTATTATTTTTAATTTAATTAAAATCTACGATTTTTTATATAATTTCAGTGCATTTGAGTTAGAGTGCCTGACATTGCGTATTGTCAGATTTGTTTGACATTGGCAATCACCATTGTGAAGGCTTCTCAGTTTTCTGCAATACGGAATAATTGTCCTGCATTTGATATCTGAGTCGATTCACGAATGTCCTTTAACTAAGAAACTTGTTTTCTTCCTACACCTCTACGGCCCTCTATTTTTCCTTTCAGGATCAGTTGTAATATTTTATATCAACTTCTCCTTACTATATGTCCCAGATAAGACATTTTTTGATGTTTAACAGCCTTTAGTAGTTCTATGTCTTTGTTGATGCTCCTTAGTACTTCTTCATTAGTTTTCCTTGCTGTCCAAGGTATCTTTAGCATTTGTCTATGAACCCACATTTCCAATGCTTCAATTTTGTTTATGAACAATACTTTTAGCATCCATACTTCTGCACTATACAAAAGTATGCACAAAACATAGCACTTCACCATTCTTTGTCTTAGTTCTAAACTGAGATGATTATTGCAAAGATTTTCAACATATCCATACAATTTAATACTGATTTATTTCCCTTTGTCTTATGGATAAGAAGTAAGAAAATTGTCAGTGTGTTTTTTTAAGTGTAACAACAAAAGTAAAGTAGTGTTGCCAACTACTAATCCAATTTATCTGCTGTATATTTTGTTACTCCTTTTTAAGGGTTTTTTTACTTACCTTTTTACTGCTTGTATCAAAACTTGTGTAGTTTTTTTTCCTTCTGATGATCCCTGACCATCTAAACAAGAATAATTATTTCTGACATCTACCAGGCACATAATTTTTATGCCATAGCAGGTTTTTTCAGTATATTCATCTTGAATCTGTATACACCTACACCTCTAGAACTTACAATGTCTTTATTTACACAGATATACTGAACAGAAATAGCTTTGCAATGTTTCTATCTGCTTTATCCATATGATTATTAAATCTTAATGCCACTAGTAAAGTTTGACACTGCCTTGGCATTGTACACCTAAATAGGTCTTGTTCATTGCCATCAGTAGCAAACAATTCTTCTATACTTTCCCTTCCTGCTTTAAAAAGTCCTTATTTCTGCTGAATCTACATATTTTTGTGATGCTCTGCTTTTTTGTACCTGTTATTAAGATGATAACTTGTATGCAATTATGAAAGTTTATAGTTTGTCCATCAAATAAGTTGTTTCTATATCATTTCTTAGCTAAATAATAAAGTCCACACTTCAATAACGCTTCCAATATTACCCAGTTTTTTGCAGGGCCTTGTAACCTAGGCAAGAACTTCATCAAATTATTAATTCTCATTAAAGATGATCAATAATATTGTCAGAAACATACAACATAAAAATTCCTACTAATTTACTAGTAACTGAAATAAACTTACTGTTGCAAACTTATTTAATTGAAAAAGGTAAGATAATCATAATTAATGAAGTGTATTTATCTAATCTATTTATAAAGACTTATCTAGAAAAGACTATTAAAATTTAAAAAGTAAATGTTTCAACCTTTGTTTTAATTGTTGCACTTTTATTTTGTTGATAAACTACTTGTGTATAATTGTTTATTTTTAAGTTAGGAGTATGCTTGGTTGCATAGTAACTTGCAACCACTTCAAAGTCAACATGTGACTAAAGGCGGCTAGAGACACACCTGCATGTTCAGCATGCTTGTTCAATCTTCTTGTAGAAGTATGCACAATTTGCCTTTGGCACCACACATACAAGCATGTTTGTATGAAATCCTGAATAAAGAAGCATGTGGTGTGGTGTAAACAATGGTTGATGAAAAGGAAAACCTATGCTCACATTATCTTACTAGACTTAGACCTAGACAATAGAAAGTGTGGGATTATAACGTTCATCTGCACCCATTCCAAAGTGGTCCACACATCTTTTTCTTTTCTCCTCTATAATTAGTCTGTAAGGAGTTTATTTTTTAATAACTTCATCCTTGTCATCATTAACGGAAATTAACCTGCATCCCTTTTTGCTTTGTTATGATAATCTTTATTATGTTTAAAAAATGCAAATAAAAATGTACTCTGCTCTACTCTAAGAGGTCTGTTGTGACTCATCCCTAGGTTAAGCTTATCCTTTCAGCTTAGCCTTCAGAATCACCACGAATTGTTTTTTAAGTTGAAGTGTGTCTTGTGTGAACTGTTCAATCAACATTTGTTAACTTGGAAAGCTGCTATAGTGCATATGCATTTGCTATTTCAGTGTTTTCACCTTCTGACTATCAATCTCAATCTAAAGCAATTTCAAAACAGCATGAAAGGAGAATATTCATCATATTTCATTTCGAATCATTCAGACTACAGACAATAAAGCAGTGAGAATTCTCAGCAGTCATCAGATATAGAGACTACAGCTGTAGCAGGCCTCATAGACTTACAATACTCTTTTATAATTTACTTCTCTAAACAACTTTTATACTTCAATAAAATCTTGTAACACATCATATATTGTTGTAAATATTGATTAAAGTACTACCATATTTCTAAGAGACTCATTAATATTCAGCTCATAATTTCACACCTCCAACAATTAACACCTGCTGTTATGATCCTGTCCAGGGGCAATCCGTCTACCTTGTGGTAGACACTTATCCATAATAAATATTACTCTCTTAGATCGTTACATAAAATTTTAAATGGTCTTTTAGATACTTGGTGTACAGAAGTAACTGAAATAAGTGTTGCAAATAAAGATGCTGTGGCTAAATATCTTGCTATGATTTGTTTTTTAACCAGGAGTAATTCAAATTTACCGCGCCGTAATGCTTGTTTGTAATTGATCCACCTGCAGGCAGGTTTACTCCACTAAATTATGACATTTTGACACTGACATTTATGAAATTTTAAAATTCAAAATTAATATCAAGAATTTTTTGTATTTTCTGCATTATTCATTTAATTTTTGATTTTTCATTCACATTTATATAAAAAACAGTTCTTTTCAGAACTATTTAGCGACATATTAGTGTTATTAAGATAACAATATGGATTCAATGCCAAGTAGTAGTGGTAATTATCGTTCTCCAACTAAAAAATGCTGAGATTTGAGTTATTTATCATCAAATGAAATACAATGCATTATAAACATGTACAAATAAATAAAAATTGATAATCCTGGAATGAAAATAACAGCCATGGTAGCAAAAATAAAACAGGCAACATCGCTCCTATTGTAATTAAACATGCTTGTCATTTAAGCCAATTCAGCTTCTCTCTGGTGGGATTTTGTTGGCGTTTGGATCACCATACTAGTGCTCCATAACACAAAGATCCATATTACAATGCTTTATTATTGAGTAATATTATTTTGATTACAGGCTCCTAGTGTGGCAACAGAAGGAGGTAAGAAGTTTTCAGCTGGAAGAGGTTTTAAATCTGTAGAGATAAGTGATGGAGATTGGGGCGACAATGGTGGTTCTAGTTTTGAAAATGGATATTCAGGCAGAGGAGGTGGAAGAAGGGGCGGTAGAGGAGGTGGTGACAACTATCGCGGCCGCGGAGGAGATCGTAATCGAGGAGGTGGAGATCGTAGGGGAAGAGGAGGTATTAAATGTTTTTTAAATTGCTTACTGCGGTCATGTATTTTTGTTAGCATATCAATTTATTCTTTTTCATGATTTATACTGATATACAACAACTATTTAAAAAATATAAGATATTTTGGCGCAAAGACACACCTGTACATTTCTCAGTTACTTTTTCAGGTAATTGATTTATTAAAAAAGAACTTATTCAGTCTTTTTTGTAGACCTTTCAGAAATTTAAACATTAGGAAGTTACATTACTTTTGTACACGGTGTATAGTATCAGCAGATCATATAGTATCTAAATTTTATTGTTTAGGTTATAGTAGAAATGGTGACAGTAATGGCTATGGAGATGAAAATGGTGATAGTTATGGCGACTCAAACAAAGAAAATTATGGAGGCTTTGAAAACAGAGGTAAGTTCAGATAAGAAACACATATTTTACACATAAATGTTTTCTGGGAGGTTCTTCGGAATGACTCCAGTGGTAGAAATAATAATAGGTATCATTTGAGTACTTTCCTTTCTCCATTGTCTCATTTGTATTTCCAGATCTCTGTTCTTGGCGATCTTTTTGTTGTACTTAACACGCAGATTATTGTTGTTAGGTATCGCCACTTTGATTAGAGTTGTTTGTCTTGTTAGTTTATTAACTAGCACGAGATCTGGTCTATTATGTGCTACAGTTTGGTCTGTGAGCACAGTGCAATCCCAGTATAGCTTGTAGTTGTCATTCTCAAGCATACTCTCAGGAATGTATTGATAATATGCTATCCAGATTTAGCCATACTGCTCACACTCCTTCTAAGGGGAAAATTCACTCATCCCAGATACCTACATCAAAAGGATTGAACTCTGGTGTGACTCTTTCCGTGTTATCGAGTCCTAGGTGACTTGGTATGTTGGAGTATATCCCAAAAATTTTCGTACACATCTGGACGTCGCAAGGAGTACAGCTTTCTGCATGGCCTTATAAAGATGTTCATTTAGACCAAGCTGTTTTATGTTCGCTAGGAGATTTTTGGGAATAGCACCAGTAGTAGATAGAACAATATGTACTGTTATTAGTGTTATCGAGCCCTAGGTGACTTGGTATGTTGGAGTATCTCCCAAAAAAAATTTTTATTTTTTATTTATTATATATTATTATATTATATATTATATATTTTTTATTTAATATTATTATTATTATAAGGGGAAACTGTTCGAATATCCTCTTTATGTTTTTTAAAAATTAAGCATGCTAATTCAAGTATATATATTCAAGGAAGTGTCAAGATACCATGTTTCTCTAACAGAGGCCTGCATAATGTACCAAACTTGACCTTGCATAAATATCTAAGTGCCCTCTTTTGTAGCATAAAATTTCTACTGAAATGATGAAGAGAACAGCTACCCCAAAAGGCAATACTGTATCTCAAATTAGATTCAATCAGAGCCACATAAACACTTTTTGCAATCTTGAAATCTAAATGGTGAGCAACTGATTTGACTGCAAAGCAACCCGATGATATCTTTTGCTTAAATATACAGTGTGCTGCTCAAAATTAAGTTTATTATCAATATAGAGACCTAAAAATTTACCAGACCATATGTTTATGGTATCAGAACAAATGCCTTCATTGCCCAGAGTAATGTTGTTTAGATCATTCTTAAAAGAAATTAATTTGGTTTTTGAAATATTAAATGTCAAATGATTAGCTTTGCACCACTCTAAATTTTTTTGCATATCACTACTAATAATCTGAACACTGCTAATGATAGCAGTACTGAAAAGCTATCAGTACTGCCATCATTAGCAGTGTTTATTGTAATAGATTCCAGTTGGACCTCTATTATATTATCTAATTCCACACTTTTGGTTCTATGTCATAAGGTTTTTTATGTTCTTTGCCAATTGCTAATAGTTGCACTTTGAGAAGCGAGCCTTCTATAGATATATTCTTGTCTATCTGTATCTGTTACGAGGGGTGTGTTAGAGGGGGAGTAAAGTCCTACAGTACTTAGACCACAATTGACCCATTGCGCATCTTCCAGGGAGCTGTCATCCTTAGCTAATTGTCCACCCTGCTTCTGTCAAAGCATTGGTTTTTTCTGGTCGTTCCCAAATACTTCTTTGATGTTGAATTTTCAATGTTACTTAGTGTTACCCTGGCTAGTCTACATCCTTGCTCTTCTTCCCATCTTTTCACAGTTTGGTTATATAGACTATTATATTTTTATTCCTTATTTATTAAAAGAACTGAGCAAGAATATACTTATACAATTTAAAAAAAAAACAGAATGAACAATGTCAAAAGATTACGATGATGATAAGACACATCCACCAATCACGCATCCAGCTGTATTTACTTTGAGCTCGTCTTGAACCTAAACTGACTGGCTTTTGTAGGGAATTTGTTTGTAAACTAAGAAATCTCATTGATGTGATATTTTTATAATAACTTTAAAAACCACTATCTAATTTCCAGGGCGTGGTAGAGGTGGCAGAGGACGAGGTGGCGGTGGTAGAGGTGGCAGAGACGACGATGATAATGACTTTAATGCTGATAAAAGCGAGGAACCCCAAAAGCCACGTGAAATTTATATACCCCCGGAACGTACTACAGATGAAGAACTGTTTACCAGTACAATAACGTCCGGTATAAATTTCGTTAAATTGGATGACATTGAAGTCAATGTAAGTATTTATAACTCCTTGAGAATGTTTATTAGAATTTTTTCGATCATTGCTTTTTTTCCTTGTTACGTTTTTATGTATCCTTCTGTGCTTAAAATTTGGAAACAAAATTTAAATCTCACTCAGTTTTAATTTGTTTTATTTACCATTTTATGTTTTTAGGTTAGCGGTGAAAACGTTCCTACACCCATTTCATCTTTTGAATCTGCAGGTCTGAGACCCCATTTATTACAGAACATTAAAAAATCTGGTTACACGAAACCAACCCCCATTCAGAAACATGCTGTGCCGATAATAATGCAGGGAAGAGATTTGATGGGCTGTGCACAAACCGGTTCCGGAAAAACAGTAAGTTGCCATTGGCTTTTGAAAAACTGATAGTTTGTCTTAGAATGCCTTTTTAATATTTCTTTTTTATTATTTCAGGCTGCCTTCCTTTTACCTATGATAAACCAATTATTAACTAGTCAAGAAGGACCTGCAATGGACGGCAACTGCTGTCAACCGAGAGTCGTGATAGTTTCACCAACGAGAGAATTGGCAATTCAGATATTTGAACAAGCAAAGAAGTTTGCCTACAATTCAATAGTCAAAACAGTAGTTGCGTATGGTGGTGCTAGTGTTAGTTACCAGAAAAATCATGTTTTGGTAAGTAGTACTTTTTTATGATTTATTCCATGTTTTTTCTCGTTGTTCTTATTGTAATCTACTTTTTAGGCTGGGTGTCATATTTTAGTCGCAACACCGGGAAGGTTAAATGACTTTGTGAGTAAGGGGGTGCTCTCATTTGACAGTGTCCAATATTTTGTGCTAGATGAAGCTGATAGGATGTTAGATATGGGTTTTTTGCCAACTGTAGAACAAATGTTGGGACACCCTTCCATGCCTGCAACTGTAAGTTGTCCTGTAAAGCATTATTTATTTGTATTAATATTTGACTTTTTCAGGGCGAGCGTCAAACACTCATGTTTTCAGCTACTTTCCCTGAAGAAATACAACATCTTGCTGGCAAATTTTTGCTTAACTACGTTTTTGTAGCGGTTGGCATCGTCGGTAGTGCTTCCACTGACGTTGAACAAGTTTTCTATCAAGTTCCAGGCAAAGAGAAAATAAGGAAACTTAAAGGAATGTTGAGTGAAAGTAAGTAAATGTTCCAGTTCTGTTTCTTCCTTAAATAAACAGCTTTGCATAAAATATATTAAGTGACAGAAATCCGAACTCTCATTATAGATTATTATGTATAATGAAAATACAATTATACAGAGTAGCAATATAAACAAACGATCAAAATTTCAGTGTGGTTAATAAAACAACTTACAGGGTTAAATCAATTAACCCATTAATGGCCAAGTATTGAAATAATTGGATTTTTCAATTCAAGTTTATATACTTTATAAATAAAGGCATAAGAACAATATTTCACCTAAAATTATAACCAATAATAATTGCAAACAAAAAATAACGTTTTCTTAACGAAACTTTGGCATAATATATGTAGTAAGTTGAAAGTTATACATTTTATAGTTTGTAAATAAAATTTCTTGGTTTTATCAATTAAAAACTAAATATATTGCTACAATAGTTATTATATAAAATAAAATTACTACTTGGCAGTAGCGTCATTATGGCATCTCATTTTTTATGGAAAGCACTAAAACAGTCATCGTGCATGAACGCTTTTCGCGAACGATATTATGACCCGTGTGGTGATGTTGAATATCATAAGGTAAACTTCCTTTAGAAGGACGGCTCCATGCAGATGTGGATGGCGTTGGCTTCGGAGTCACCTTCTTCAGCAGCTGTTTTTACTGTACCTTTTTTTTTCGTTCTGTATCAGTGACAAAACCAACGAAGAACGGAATTGCAATTGGGAGACTCAAATTCATATTGTTGTAAATTCACAACTGCGGAATCCACAAAATTCATAAACAAGGGCCACCACCACTTTTTACTTCTTACTCAGTTCCTGTAATTTGATATCGAATTATGTAGCAAATCAACACATATGTCGGTTATAATCATTAATCATATTGGGCTGAGGTATTGAATCTTCCTTTCATAGCTTCCGATTATATCTTTTAACTGTAACAATTGGATGAACCGTTCCATTGTTGCTGGCTACTGTCACAACGGAATTATTTTTCCACCTTACAATTGATACTTCTGCCTTTTTGTCGAAAGCATGATCAAACTCACACCTGTTCTTCTTTCAAAGCATTTTGCTACTTTGTAGAGGACATCCTGGTAACCTATTCATCCTGGTAACATATCCATCTTTCACGGTGTCTCACGGAGTAAAGAATATTCTTTTTCCACCTAGAATGTGGAATAGTGCATAACTCGAAAAGAAGTTGAAGAAAACTCTATGATCTGAAGGATTTTGCATTATACGTAGCCAATGCAAACCTACTTGCGTCCCTAATGTGTATTGAGATTTTTGCCTTTCTGGATTTGCGCCATCATGAGGAATGAATTGGGTATAGATATTCCTCTGAGCTACACTCCTTGAAGCCAAAGCACCACTGGTTTACCCTTCATAAACATTTTTGCAGAATGTCGGCCGAAATAATCAACCATTTGTTCATCTATAGACATATTATGAGCAAATGGTCCAAACTTTTCGGAACACTTTTAGATTGTTCCAATAGGGATTCTGTGGGCGTCTTAGCATCATCTCGAGACCTTGTGTGAATTTCGAATGTTCCAGCGATATCAGTCAAAGCTTCTCTATAAGAAGATTATCATCCAAATCCTCTTCATCTGTTAACACATCAACTAAAGGAGGTATATAAACTGCATCAATCTCATCCGCTTCTAAATCAGAATAATCCTCCAGTATAGCTTGCAATTTTTTCACTGAAAGAGGTCCCTTCATTTTATATTTACAGTGTAAAAATAGAATATCATAATAATAATAATCTTTATTAATAGCACATGGCTAGAAAAATATACATGTAGATACATCAATTTATACCCTTAAAATTAAATCACAATGCTTTGCTTAACATATATCTTACATAAATTTTTAAATTGAGCTAAGTTTCCAGAAGCCTTAATGTTTTCCGGTAATTCATTGTATTGCTTTAATCCCCTATAAAAAAGATTGTTCTGACCAAAATTAGTGTTGACCCTATTCAGATAAAAGTTATTTCTAGAACGTGTGTTGTGTTCATGTACATCTCGAACAAAGGTACAATTATTACACAAATGCACAGGTATCAGACCATTTAACATTTTATAAATAAAAATCATACTATTACATACAATTGTCTGTCTTACACTTAAAACATTTGCCATTGTTAGCATGTCAGTTCTACTAGTGTATACACTACATCCTAATATTATCCTTAAGGCTTTATTTTGTTTTTTCTGCAGTACATTCATTTGAGAAGCATTCATTAAAAACAGCAATGTAGAGCAAAAATAGAGATGGGGAGCAATAATCGATTTATATATGGTCAACCTAGACCAGCAACTTAAATTTTTTGACATTCTTCCCAATGCATAGATTTTTTTTGCTATTTTGTTTGTAACAAACTTAAAATGTTCAACAAAACTTAAATTTTCATCTATAATACATCCAAATACTTATACTGAACCACTCTCTCCAACGCAATATTATTAATTTTTACATCTTTTATTATGTTATTTAATTTAAAATTTTTATTCTTTATAAGCATCATTTTGGTTTTAGTTACATTAAGACTTAAGGAATTATTATCGAGCCATTTTAATATATTACGTATCTCTTCATTTATTATATCGATTATTTCATCTACCTTATCCCCTATTGCATATATCACAGTATCATCGGCAAACAACTGTACCTTACACTTTTTAACAACATCAACAATATCATTTATATACAGTATGAAAAGGGTAGGACCTAACACAGTTCCCTGTGGCACACCATACAGAGACTTCTGAGCCGATGAAATGGCACCATATTTTGTCACTTGTGTTCTATCAGTCAAATATTCTTGAAACCACTTTATAATTTTTTCACCAAAGCCATACCTTTCCATCTTTCTCAATAGCAGTTGTCTGTTTATGGTTTCAAATGCACGTTTAAAGTCTAAGAAAACCACACCAATCATTTTCCCGCACTCCAGCGCACCCTTCCAGTCAAACAAAACCGTCTGCATTGCACTCTCACAGGAATTTCCTCTCCTAAACCCTGCTTGGAATTTAGTTAACACATTATTGCTTTCCAAGTACTCCACTATTTGATCATTTACACATAATTCCAGCAGTTTTTCGTATGGTGGTACCATATTTATTGGTCGAAATTCCTCACACTTAACAGTTCCATGAACCTTCTCAATTGGTACAACCAGACTTCTCTTCCATTTACTTGGGAATACGCCACTTTCTAAACTACCATTTATAATATGCAAAATTTTGTCGCCTATTACTTCAAAGGAACTCTTTAAAATTTGAACTGTAATACCATCAACATTACTTTCTTTGTTTTTCATTTCTTTCATTTGTTTTTTTAAATCTTTCATTTCTAATATTTTGAATTTTTCCATTTTGCAGTCGACATTTATTGAACTACAAATTTCTTGGTGGGTTTTGTTTGAAATAATGCTATCTGCTATGTCTTTTACACTGTCTAGAAAAAATATATTAAATCTTTCACTTATCTCTTTACCAGTAACCCCCCCACCATCAAATATTATTTCACTTTTAGCTTCATGGTTTTTTTTGCCGTTTACAAGCTCCTTTAATGTTTTCATATCATTTCAGAATACGTATATGTATCGTACCTATCTGATAATAATATGTATATGAGATTGTGGTAGTCTTCGATTCATAGATTTTGAATTTTTTCTAAAACCATACATTTCTAGAAAAATCAAAATAAATCAACACCCTATATATTTAGGCATAGAGAACCCTTCTAAAAATGTAGATTATTTTTAAGGATAGTTTTAATATATGGCTATAAAAAATATATAACTTTTGATATACCAATATATTTATTTTTTGCACAAATATTTTAGTGGTGTTAATAACAAAGAAAAATCATTGACGCCTGAATACTCCATCGAAACACGCCTATAATAATGTGTCACACAACATATTCCCTATTTGAAATAAGGGGTTTTGGGACTGGATTGACTGGGGAGGGGATTGGCATATTGCATGCCTGTATCATTTAAATCTATCCACTTGGTATTCCAATAAGACAGTGGGCGGTCGAATTCACACTCTGTATATTGCAACGGTATACATAAATTAATGAATTAATGCTATTTTGCAGATGGTGGTGAGCGGACGGTAGTTTTTGTCGAACAAAAGAGAACTGCTGATTTTTTGGGAAGTTTCTTATCGGAAAACGGAATGAAATCCACCAGTATCCACGGTGATCGTCTACAGCGCGAAAGGGAACAAGCTTTATGGGATTTCAAGAAAGGGATTTGTAATGTACTTGTTGCAACAGGTGTTGCCGCTAGAGGACTGGATATAGAAGGCATAGAGCATGTCATCAACTTTGATTTACCGAAGTCAAAAGATGAATATGTTCATCGTATTGGAAGAACAGGGCGTCTCGGTAAGTAATATTTTTCTATTAGTTTTTTTTTTCTTTCATAAAATAAATTTTAATACCATGAATAATAATAAAAATGGCAATAATCTTAAAAAACGGAGCTAATGAATTTAAATTATCGTTAAAGGTATTACTAAAAGCTAAAAAAGAAACAAACCAGTGTGAAAAAAAAATAAAGATATTAGTTTTCTATAAAAGAAAAATTAATTGATTCTGAAGATTTTGAGTCATAATTTTTTTTTTTTCAATAAAATGTTATTTTAATATTTAAATAAATATTATTTATTTACTTTTTTTACTATAAAACTAATTAACGCATATTTATAGGAAATAAGGGTAAAGCTACTAGCTTTTTCGATTCCTCCAGCGATTCTGCTCTGGCACCTGCACTAGCTATTATTCTGAAGCAGGCTGGACAAGAAGTTCCTTCATGGTTTGGTGAGATCAGTTCTCATTCATCATATCAAAACGATCGTGCATTTGGAGGAACTGATATCCGTGGGGTAAGTTTTGGCAAAAATCTACTTTTCTTTCATTCAAAACATATATCTATAAAATATGAGCCGCTCAGAGCCAGAGTAGTAACGTAAAACAATTAAAATATTCTTTAATTTTAGGGAGAATTTGGAAAAGCTCAGGTAGCAGAAGAAGTAGACGAGGAATGGTGATCTACATTTGTTTGCGTGTTAGTTATGAATCAACAACACCGCAAATCCAGTGATTTTTATATTTTCAATAGTTTGTATGTCTTTTTCAAATTGATATTTTCCTTTTAAGAGTTAAGATCTAAAGTTTTGTTTTAAAAGAAGTATGACTTAGTTATTATTGACTTGTTACTTGTATCTGTGATACAATCGTTTTTTTTTTTTCAGAATAAATGCTTCTTCTAATTTTTTAAAACGCCTTTGTTTTGTACCATTTATCCCCATTACAGTTCAGATATCAGAATTTGCTGAGAAATGGGTCACCGTAGTCGAAATTTCAGGACACTAACACAACCATGGAAAAACTGAAGCTTAAGGACATTGAGAATTAAAACTATTTACTTCCAGTGTAGATCATAGCTTGTACATTGATTTTCGTATCGATGATGAATACATTTAAGACCCTGAGACAGTAATAGATATAATAAATTGAACATTGTTGTTCGATAACGAGAGCTATATTTAGATTTGTCGAGTCAGTGGGTTGGTCTAAGGTCTAACCTAACTCGATAATTTATGTATATTAAAATATGGGGAGTGGGGAAACAAGAAAAAGGCGAGAAGAGGAGCATGATTCGATGACAAGTGCAGACAAGCAATGGAGGAAAGAAATGAAGCCCACAAAATGTATATAACAAGAACACGGGAAAGACGAACATCATTTGAAGTCACAAGACGGGAAGCAGACAAGAACAGAACTCAGAAACCTGGAAGCATTAGTTTCAGACTCCACTTGGTACACAAGTAGACATGGGAGATGAAATGGCTACGAACTATGTAGAAGAGAACGGAGTAGAAGCTCCAACCATAGAGGAAGTTCTCGAATCTATTTAAGGCTCAGAAAAACAATAAAGCTCCGGGAGTTGACGAAATACCAGCAGAATTGTATAAGGTAGGAAACCTAGCAAGTCACAATCACGCGCTCATCAAAGACATATGGCAAGAACAGAAAATACCCAATGACTGCGTATATTTAAACCAGCAGCTCCAATCACTAGCAGAAAATATTAGAGAGTACCCGACGGGAAAGATCTAAACTGGATCAAATATTTACAAACAGATCTTAAGTACATCATGGGAACATGTCATTAATGTTCACAACGTGTTTGACTTCAAACAGGCATACGACTCAATCAAAAGAAACAAAGTACAATATATTGGCGGAATTGGCAATACACTCAGCTGACTGCATAAGTTTGGGAGGTCAAAGGAGCCCAAGGCTCAATTTGGGCTGTAGTGCCGTAGAAGAAGAATGTGGGTGAAATGAAAATAAAAACGTATTCTTTAAAAATTTGTGTTTGTCTTTGGAGGAACCGGTGAAAAGGTATTTCTACCCTCACACTGTTGGTCCGAATGTAATAACACGCTTAGTTTCCAACATCACAAATCCAGAAAGATAGAGAAAAACAATAAACTGACCAGAATGAGAGTAAGAGAGTGTAAAAATCACTCCCGTAAAGAGATTCCCTAACAATTCCTGGAATAAAGCTGCAATGAAGGAATGGCTAGTGGAAGGAGACATTTTATTCGATGATTGCTGTTTGAAATCCGAGCTATTAGAAGCAGCGAGTGCTTTTAAAGTTCCAATACGTAAGTATAATCTTGATGAATATGTTACACAACATATTTTAAGGCTTCCTTCGTATGATTGCAAATTAAATCCTACTGTTGTTTCTAGCAGTTGTCTCGTTTTAGATGTGTCAGGTCTTGTCTCTGCCGTGTATGTTATCATAGGTGTAATTGCTGCTTTATAGATTCTTGTTTTTATGTCTCGTCTTAGGTGTTTGTTCTTCCAGATTCTACTTCTTCAACATCTACGTAACTAGTTATATCTATTTCCAGATATCTAAACCTTGCTTCATGCTTTATTATCTTCCCATCAATTTCAATTGAATAATAATATACTCGAATAATACTGCTTGTATTATTTCGTCCGTCCATTATTATAGTGGGCTTAACGAGTCACCCTGTCTGACTCCACTTTTTACTGGTATACACTGTGTTAGTTTCCATTTATCTTTGCCTGTATTTGATTATGGAGGTAAGGATAATTCATAATGTCTTGGACCTGACGTAATCGATTTGAATTCACCAACAATTCTATCAGCTTCTGATACTTTAGTTTGGGCTTATTGATTTTAAAACATTAATTTTAGTTGTTTGAGGGCCTTATCCCAACCTAAAAATGGATTTATACAAAACTGTCTAATAAATTAGGACCACTTTTTGTATGGGCGACCTCTTGAACAATATTCTGCGGTCTTTTATGAAAACCCTATTATTTTTCTATTATATATTAATTTGTTATTTATTTATTTGTCCTCTAGATTTTTTCAGTTCTTAAAAGGTTTATTTACAAGCCAAATTAGTGCAATGTAAATATTTCACATTTTTACACAGTAATTCTTATCGACAGTGAAGACGGGAATTCGTAAATTTTTATTACATCTTTCAATGTGGGATAAAATAAAAATGCAACGACTAACTGGAATGTTTAAGATTAGAGAAAAATAATGTCATGTTTATTGGAAATATTCGACATCATTAGCACGTGCAAATCCTACCCTGTCGTCCAATTTCCTACGAAATTAAAATGGTAAATGTTTTTAGGGTCCATTTATTTTTTCGGGCATGCGCATTTATGAGGTCCACGAGATTTTGAAACATTTATAGATGTTTTCGATGGTTTGTATAATATTGATTGGTATGTTTCTTTTATACAGTAGGTGTAAGACGTCCTTGACTTGGATGCGATCGAGAGCCTTTGTCAGGTCTATAAAACATAGATATGCTGGTTTATTGTACTCGATAGCATTTTCTGTGACTTGTCTCTTAGTCTTAGTACAAACACGGCGTCTACGCAGGATCTTCCGGATCTGAATCCTTGTTGTTCATCTGATAAAGTTGTTAATTTATTGATTTTCTTGGTTAGGACTTTTGTGGTAAGCTTAAGTGCGGTGTTCAGTAGATTTAAACCTCAATTATTGGAGTCTTCTTTATCTCCTTTCTTGAACATTGGTATCATTATGGTGTTTCTCCATGCGTCTGGTATCTTGCAGTGCATTATTGTTTGATTATATTAGTTTTGTCATCTCTAGGGTTATACTTTCTCCTCCGTATTTTAGAATCTCGTTGGTTATTCCGTCTGGTCTTGGTCACTTTCTATTTTTAAGTGAATGTATGGCTCGCTCTAATTCCTGAAAACTGATTTCTATTTCGTGACTTCATTCAGGTACGTTATTGTGTTGATTATTATTTTCCTTTGCTTTAAACAGTTCCGTCAGGTATCTTTTCCATTTGTTTGCTGGTATGTTAAGTCGTTCCACATTGAAATTTTCCTCGGTGATTTCCTGTAGAAAATTTTGTTTTAGTGTTATTTTCATTCTTATCTTTGCTAGTACTAGTTTGTGTTCACTCCCTGCGTCTGCTGAGTTTAAAGTTCGGATATCTAGAATTTGCTTTGGGTGGATTTTTCTATTAGTGACTATAAAATCAACCATAGATTTATGCCCCCTGGAGTTTTCAAATGTCTATTTATACTGGAGCTCATGGTCGAAAAATGTATTATTGATTCTTAGTTTGTAGCATTTCCAAATTGTTTGAAATATAATGGAATCCCCTCGTATATGTATTAAATTGAAATCCCCTCATATATGAATTAAAATAACGGAGAATTTTTTCCACGTTTCTCAGTTCCTATCTTTCAAGTTAAAACCCAAATATATTTTGTTCTTTTTAAGTCGCCAAGTCGATAATAAACCATTTTATTGCTTGTTTATGTCACAGGCGCAAATTTTTCCATATTTTTCTTTGATTTGAACCGCTCGATACTGCATTTGAAATAATTTGCGTTTCAACCATAGTTAAATGTTTTGTTATTCCAAATTATGTGAATTAATCTTGAAGATAATTTCATCACTCTGGTTGTCATCCCAGGCTTTTTGGCAGTATGGAGATAAATGTGTTCGTGTCCAGAGAGTTCAACCCCAGTTATAGTTTCAGAAAATTCAAAGTGTGATCTAGTGAAATAAGGTAACTTTTTTGTGTTTAAATTTAATGTTAACGTATGACAGCTAGCGTTATTATTTCTTTATTAGTTTGGTTTTATAAAAAAGTATTGCAGTAACAATTTTTTTGTAAGTTTATGTAGTATCTCCAACTCCTAGTGTTTGTAAACGGATGACATGTAAGTTTTTTTGTATTTTGCGACTATTGATGTAATATTTTTGCGTTGTCTTATTTTTGTAACTGTTTGTGGTGACACAACAATAAATGCTTAATTTTTTTCCTAACATATTGTTTAATTTTTTTAAACTAACCCTTTTTTGTTTCATTTGAAAAAGATATGTTTTGCTTTTATAATATTTATTTCGATAGTTTCAACTAGCTGTTGTAATAGTTATAATTAGGCACCTCGAGGTGGCGTCCTATTTTAAATTACTAGAGGTGTTTCCTTTCTGTGTTTTGTTAATCCCAAGAGATTCATGACCCTTTTGTTTCATTTTTCTGTAGTTGCCCCAATCCAACTCGCTTGTCATTTACTTATCCACGACCCCAGGTCTCGTCACAAACTCGTGAGTGCCGTTCGCACAAGTAGCGTTTATTTTGCTTGCCCTATCTCCACCCCCATAGTTTCTGTACACAATTTTCTACATTTAATAGTAATACCCCATGTGGTAGGCAAAATATCTTCGTAACAAGTTCGTTAAAAGCATAGAGATTAGCCATGAGTTCTCCATTTGCATTGACATTGTTTTCATTAAATATATTGTTACGATCTCCTAAATCCAAGAACATGTTAAGCCACACTTTTTTCCTTAAGTTCTAGTCCTGACGTTTCTAAGTTCCTTAGAAACGTCATGCAGATTTTTATTACAAAAATTTTGGTATCAAATCTACTCAGTTGTCAGTGAGTTATGGATTTATCAGAAACTTTAGCGGAAAACACTTTTTAGGGTTGGCCTATTTCTTTTTAGTCCTAATTTTCTGAACAATAGGCTTCGTTTAATAGACTTACAATTAAGTATAGCTTAACTGCAAGCGGATTCCTTGGTCAAATAATGAAACAACAAAAATAAAATTAAAACAAAAAAATATAAAGTTTATTTTTTATTTTTACAAATAAGATATCCTTAAAAAACAATGATCGATAAATATTGTAAAATGGAGAAAAGAAAAATCTTTCACGTGCCTTATTGGTTAACATAGGATTCCTGCCTAATTATTCTAAGTTTGAAAGGATTACAGGTCATGAAGTTCTTAAACGTTTACAGATCACATCAACAAAAGTGACGATTTAGGTATTAATATTAATTGCATTATTTATATTTAACCAGCGAAGCTAGCCAAGAATTCTTGAACAACTTTCTTGAGTTGTGCGTCAGTTTCGTCTGTGATTTTTCCTTCCTTGGCAATGCTCTGCAAGATGTTTTTGTGGCTAGTCCTGCAACACAAAAGGAATCAAATTAAAATAATCCGAAGTATGAAGAAAATTTAAGTTATCCTAAAAAATATCACTTTCATTTATTTCAATCAAAAGACTCTTTCATCTGTTACGAAGTTTTGGATGTTTTGGACACTTGATGACTGATTACTCCTAATTTTCGAATAGACCTTATCGTATCGTTTTAATTAGTTACTTACTTGATGTGTTCTGAGAATTGTTTTTCAAATACTGTAATCTTTGATGGATCAACTTTGTCCAAATGTCCTCTTACACCACAATAGATGATGGCTACTTGTTCTTCAATAGCCATGGGTACATATTGACCTTGTTTCAACAATTCAGTAAGACGTACACCTCTGTTCAACAATTGCTGAGTAGCAGCATCAAGATCTGAACCGAATTGGGCAAAAGCAGCTACTTCACGGTATTGGGCCAATTCCAGTTTCATGGAACCGGCGACCTACAAGATAATGTAATAAGTAACACAATTTATATTATTAAAAGATCAATTTACCTGTTTCATGGCCTTAGTTTGAGCAGCTGATCCTACTCTGGATACAGATAAACCTACGTTAATTGCAGGTCTGATACCTTTGTAGAACAATTCAGTTTCCAAGAAGATTTGTCCATCAGTGATGGAAATGACATTGGTTGGAATGTAGGCTGATACATCACCAGCTTGGGTTTCAATTACGGGTAAAGCAGTCAATGAACCACCACCGTGGGCTTCAGACATCTTAGCAGCACGTTCCAAAAGACGAGAGTGAAGGTAGAATACATCACCAGGGTAGGCTTCACGACCTGGAGGACGACGAAGCAACAGAGACATCTGAAAATGAAGTTGTGTGTAAATGGCAATCTAATTAAAGATATTTACGGCTAGCTCACCTGACGGTAGGCTACGGCTTGTTTGGACAAATCGTCATAAATGATGAGGGCATGTTTGCCATTATCTCTGAAATATTCACCCATAGCACATCCGGAGTATGGGGCGAGGTATTGCAATGGTGCAGCATCAGATGCAGTAGCTGATACAATGATTGTGTAGTTGATTGCACCAGTGTCTGTAAGACGCTTCAAGATTTGAGCCACGGTAGATCTCTTTTGACCGATGGCAACGTAAATGCAGTACAATTTCTTCTTTTCATCTTCAGCATCGTTGAATCGTTTTTGGTTGATGATTGTATCAATAGCCAAAGCAGTTTTACTACAAAAAATAAATAAATTTTTTTTATATTTATAAAAAAAAAATAAATTTGTTGTAAGATACTTGTACTAAAAATATTTACCCAGTTTGACGATCACCAATGATCAACTCACGCTGACCACGACCAATTGGTACAAGAGAATCTACAGCCTTGATTCCAGACTGCATAGGTTCTCTTACAGAGATACGTGGAATGATACCGGGGGCCTTGATACCTACACGGAAACGTTGTTTGGTGTTCAATGGTCCTTTGCCATCAATTGGGTTACCTGAAATTCAATTTTACAAATTAATATTAACAATTAGTATCTGATCGGGATTGGAATCAATGGAAAGAGTAACACTGAGACTAAGTTTACAATTCCATATCATGATTTTACAAAAATAATCATTGTTCTTAAATAATTTCATGTTCCATCATTGTTTTTTTCGAGCAACTTTCTTATATTTCAAAACCTAACCTACAAACTCATGTGGTTTTCGAATTTTGCAAGTACAGGGATACCTCGATATACAAACGCCCTAATATACGAGTGTTTTAAGATACGAGCCGCGGAGTGAGCCGATATTTTGCTTTGAGATGAGAGAAAGATTTGAGATACAGAGAAACCGTTTTTATTCAAATTCATGCTTATTTGACTGCTTCTAATTTGCTTTGTAAAAGGTAGTCTTACTGGTAATAGATCTTTACGGCCTCGCCATAAAGATCATTTTACGGGTCTGTACGTGAGTATTACTCCGACCGACAAATTAAATGATCATTAGAAGTTAAATCCGACAAAAATTCGGATTCTAATACTAAACATTGTCGATATCGGTATAATTTACACTGCAAATTTTTACTCTAGACCTCAGTCTGCTTTGCTGCTCCCTCATTTTCAAAGTATTTTCAATAAGTTGGGTTCACATTTTGTGCTTTTTGTACATTACAATATTACATTTATTTTTACAACCATGGGTTCGAAGAAGAAAATGATGTCTATTGAACTAAAACGTGAAATCATTGAAAAACATGAGCAAGGTGTACGAGTAACTGACTTGTCGAGGATGTACGGGCTTACCACATCAATGTTATGTACTGTACTTATCATATGTGAGAAGGCACGATCGATTCACGAAGATTTTCTGAAGCAGATTCCAGAACCTTCCACACATGATGAATCGGAAGACTCGTTTAATGCCAGTCGGGGTTGGTTTGAAACTTTAGAAAAAGGACCGACATTCACTCCGTCGTCAGGCATGGTGAGACAGCAAGTTCGGATGTGAAAGCAGCTGAGGTTTACATCAAAACGTTTTCCGAACTGATAGAAGCTAAAGGATACATTGCAAAGGAGTCAGAATTGGAAGATGTCTCTATAAGAAGTCAGAATATCAGTTTTCCAAACTGATCGAAGCCAAAGTATACATTGCAAAGGAGTCAGAATTGGAAGACGTCTCTATAAGAGATATAAAGGAGATCCTGGGAATGTGGGAGAAAGTTGCAGAGTTCGTGGATAAATATCACTCCAAAAAAGTTACAACTGGTCATGCATCAGTGTTGTTCAACGAAACTTGCTCAACACATTTCGCAACATGCTGAAAGGGAGGAAGAAACAAACCCCCTTGGACAGTTTTTTTAAACGATTTGCAGATGAAAATGACCAAAGTGTGACGAAAAAAGCGAAGACCACTGATGAAAATTAAGTGCTTCCATAAGCACTTCACTTTTTATGTTTTTTCATAATATGTATGTATTTTTTGTTACTTATAAATAAATGTTTCTTCTTTCAAATACATCTTTCTTATTTAAAAAAAGTTAACAAAAACAACTAACGTGTTTTTTGGGGACTGGAACGGATTAATGACATTTCAGTTAATTTCAATGGGGAAAATTGCTTTGACATATGAACAAGATTACGGATCAAATTACACTCGTATGTCGAGGTACCACTGTATATACTTTAATAATAATTTATTATTTTTCTTACATATAAATGTTCTTGCTCTTGAAAATTTTTAATGTAATTATAAATGTTTGTGACTGCGAGACAGAAACATTTTCAACTACTGCTGCTACAACTTGTAGTCCATTTCTGGAACCAAGTTCTTTCCACAACTTAAATTTAGTCCATTTTTTATCACACGTCAGCCGACCATCATATAGGAAAGACTACATTGTCCCCAAATTCAATATCAATAAGAAATATTCATCTGCGACATGAAAACACAAAACAATATCCATTCCAGCCATCGACTTTATTCAGCAAAACCTTAATGAAGCTAAGGAAACACCAAGAGGTGTAGTATTAAGTTTTTTTTTATGTGAAGTCTTGCTTATTATTTATGTTTATAAATATAGTAAATTTATATTTATTTATCTTTTTTATCTGATTTCCTCATTGTGCATTTTATGTGAAGACAATAAAATACCTACATCTGAGAGAGCTAGTGAAGCCAGTGAACAAGAGAAGTAAGTGTTCAATTGTTGCACAATTGGAGCTTTAATGTTCTTTTCCTATAAGTTTAGTAAAGAATGTAGTAAACGCAATTCTACAAATTTTTCAGTACAAGAAAAACATTATGAATGTATATAACATGTTATGGATTCCATGGAAAGAACAATTATATCTTGGTCTCAATAATGTAGTTACTGCATTTAGTAATTTGACTTTAGAACTGGACCAAAAGAAGTATTCAATAAGAATAAAAAAAGAGTGAAGGCAATAAGTATATCTTTAAAAAAATTCAAACAGGAAGGAAAAATGTATTAACCTTGAAGAACATGTTATCCAAAAGAAATTCCATGTCCTCTTTTAAAATAAAATTTCAAGGCTACAGTTCCTAAATAAATTCCGATGGTTCTATATCCAAAATATCACATGTTTTATTGTACAATTTACTATTGAATCTTAAATAAGTGCAGTATTATCAAAACGCATGGCAAATTGGCAACAAAATATTTGTCTCTTGGTAGATTATGCTGAGTATGATAGATGTGATTAGGTCAATATCTATGTTTTTAAATAACAATTCCTGATATCTCTGCAGAAATTAGTGAATTTTCAAATGAAAACGTAAAACTACTGAGAACTCAGTTGATCAAAATGGACAATATTTTTACATATATTTTTACTCAAAACTCTTTACTGAAAGACAAAGCTGGATTAAACTGACCAGAAGCCTCTCATTGTATCTGATTCTCCATAACACCAGCAGCCAAAATTGTTGATATAAAATATGTTATATGTGTCCCATTTGACATTTACTACCATATTAAATCTTATGTTTAGTTATGCACATTATTATGCTATATATTTTAAAGTATACCAAAAATACATACAGACAGCAGAAATAACTTATTACCTAAGGCATCTACTACACGTCCCAAAATTTGGTCACCTACAGGCACATCTACAATGGCACCAGTTCTCTTGACAATGTCACCTTCCTTAATGAGTTTGTCATTACCAAATACTACAACACCAACGTTGTCAGGTTCCAAGTTAAGGGCCATACCCTAAACAGAAGAGAAAGAAGTAAATAAATAGATTACTCAGGTTAACACTTATTCTAACAGATATAATTTTTAAAACACTTAATTTACATTTGTATAAAAAATATGCTTGTATAACATTGCCGTTAAATGAAATGAAAAATGAAACTCCACCAACATAATAGTGAAAGGTTCAGACAGGTTCAAAAGAGTGAAAGGAAGATTTGAATCAGTGTATCCACTTTCATGCAAGGATTATTTTCCATGCTAGGATTTTTTAATATTTGCCAAAACCTATTACAATTAGAAGTAGGATGATTTAGAGTTGTGGTTAAATATGATACAAAAATTGGAGAAAAAGTGGATGTTAAGAAAAAGGAACCAAAAAGTTTTTCACATATTTATCTCATCTCGTCATATAATACTGGAAACAATACTGAAAAAGCAAGAACTTGTGAAAATTAAATATTGATAATTGCCAACATGTCCAATTTCAAATTATGCAGACAGAAGAATCACCAGATTTTGTGTGACCACTGATATACAAAATAAGAGTTTTACTTCGATAAAATGGTGCCACAGCACATTATGTTGTATGATATTTAGCAAAAAGCAAAAAAGTTTGGTTGCTAGGACAAGTTGCTGTGTTTAGAAGATTGCAATCAATCATTTTATATGTTCAGCAAGGTATTACCTATGAAACAAGCAACATATGGCTCACATTAATGGACTTGAAAAAATGACTTCAAAAATAATGCATCATAGGTTAAATGATCACAAAAAGTATGATTGATGTCATCAACAGATTACCATGTTTTGCTTTATTATAAAAGTTCAAGGTCTTGTGGAGAGCTTTCGCTTCCCAGAACACTTGCCAATAAATTCTAATTGGGACAGTCAGGACAAAAAGGAGGCAGTGTAACATAGTTGACACACCGTGGAATTTTAGATCTTAGAAACCAGGCTCAGTAAGTGTTTGCAAGAACAAAGGTCCAATTGTTACATTTGGCCATTTCTTTCAACAAAGGTTGTGATATTCCCAGTTGGTAATAGTGGCTAGTGTTATAAAATTTAAAAAAAAAAGAACATTCAACAATGGAAAAATGTATAAAATATAAACTTATGTGATGCATTAAACCAACTATACCAATATAAAGATCTAAAATCCAGCTAATATTAGAACTGTAAGGAATGTTATTGAGTATTAAATTACTCTTTATTTCTTTTCTCCTTTTCAGAAGAAAAAATTGCTTTATGTGAAAAAAAAAAAAAAAAAATAAAGTCTTAAGATATTGTGAAATATATCACAAAGGCAGCTAAGATATACTCTAGTGTGACTGATAAAAGCAAAAGTAACTAAGGGCACAGATGTAATTTTATTTGACTTTAAGAATAATCTTTGCTAAAATAAAAATACTTGTGATGTCTTACAAAGAACAAATTTTAGTTTTATTATACATCCATTTTGTGGTCAAAGTCATACAAAAACATGTTGTCGCACTATGGGAGTGAATGAGGAGAGGAAGCATAGCTTTCTTAGCATTTATGCAATAAGTGATGTGTTTTTAATTTAATTCAATTCAATTTATTTTGTTAAGAAACACACATGGAATTGCATTTATTGCTGTATATAGTGTATGTTAATGTTTGGAAACAAATACCCTTTGAAATCACAATCACGTATGTCAATTTATTGTTTTTACTTTGTTTCTGTTTGTTCGGATCCAGTGGTGGATGTAAAAATGTTTCTTGGGAGGGACAACACTTGAAACATACTGAAAGGTCCAAATATCTTGGGAGTGATACTAGACCAGTCACTAATGTATAAATTCCACTGTCAGTGCACAAGACAAAAGGTTTCTATGAGAAACAACCTTCTTTGGAAACTTGTAGGGAGCAAGTGGGATGCAAACCCCCAGGTCTTGAAGTCAATAGTTGAGGCCTTATATCTCTCAACAGGGGAATATGCTTTTCCCATCTGACTGATTCGAATCACCAGACGACCTTAGATACGCCTTATAATATGTGGAGAAGTTCAGGCAAACTTTAGATGAAAGGCACCAATTATACAGGTTTGACGAACCACCAGGAATCAGCCGACTTAAATCAAGGAAAAGGTTTATGAGAAATGTCAGCATCGAATTACCCAAACTGTTCCTTCTACCTAATGGAATGAACCTGGACTGGAGAACATGGCGGACACTCCATGCATACACACAGGTGTTGCCCGTGTAAAACAGAACCTTATTAAATGGGACATCAGACAGAACGTGGAGCACCTGAGAGTATACAGACTTTGCCCATCACAGTGCACCCTCAATGATTTATAGCTCGCAAATACAAGGGGTGTAGACATAGCCTGATATTGGGCAGAAAAACTGTAATTGGATCCAAACACGAAAAAGTAAAGTAAGTACTTTGTTTCTATTATATACTCAGAATATCATTCTGATATTCTAATGATGTATTTAAACAATAATTAACCAAAATCCTGAAAATTTACAAGTAAAATCATAATAAAATCAAAAAAAGCTAGATGCTGGTGAGCATTTTCATTTTTCTTAATAATTTTGTTTCAGTTAGCTTTTTTTGTTTATAAATGATGGAAGAAACAATTATTTTCTTTTTAAATTGAACAATTAAGATTAAATTATCTTCAGGCAATATATATATGTCCTTCACTTTATTCTTCAGCAACCTTCATCATTAGCACTGTCACAACAACCCTTCTTAGTTAGATCTGATTTCTTATATCCAAGCTTCAGTCTTCTCTTTGTCCTATTTTCTACTGAAATTTATTTGCTTATTTTGGTCAGTATTATACCTCTTTCCATCCTTTTTGTGTACCATCCAGTGTTACAGTATCATTATAATCTCTTCAACATTTTCCATTTGTAAATAAGGCTGATATGTTCAGTAAAAATGAGACACACACATTTATATAAAACTTATTAAAAACTAGAAATGGTTATAGAGGACAAAAAATGATAAAAATTACACTATTAGAAAGATAATAGGGTGAACACTGTATAAGAATCTTATAAATATCACACCTCAGTTAATTCTCTGGTTTATGAAGGTTAATTATGTAATATTTCTACAAATAATTCAAATAAATTATTTATATAATTAAAATATCCAATAATACCTAATTCCAAGGTAAGTTTCGTAATGCTCCGGACACATTTTGTACATTAAATATTAAGGGTTAACTTTGTAAGACACTACTAGCTAATATATTGCCATCAGCAGTCAAAACTACACAAAATAACATACATATATCAATAAATTACATGAAATGAATATTTGACACTGATATTTAATACATAAAAACATTTAATTTCTTACTTTGAGACCAGAGGAGAATTCCACCATCTCATCGGCTTGGATATTGTTCAACCCATATACACGGGCGATACCGTCACCAATACTTAAGACTCGTCCTGTTTCATCGAGGTTGGCTTTTGGAGCAGCACCAAGGATGCGCTCTTCAAGAATGGATGAAATTTCAGCACCTTTGTTTTGTGGAGTAGCATGGAAGTTGCGGGCTGCAACGGATGCAGCAGGGAAGGCAGCTCCCGCGATCTACAAATTGAAATATCAAAAGATAAAAAATTAGGTTTATCCAATCAGTTATGTAACAAGTCAAAGTATAGGTTAACAAATAATTTTAGTTTAAAAAATAGTGGATTATGTTAAAAATAGTTAAAATTGAATATGGACGTTTCACTAAACATTTAAAATAGTATTTACATGAATCCTACAAATTAATATTGCAACTAAAATCTTGTGATTATGTCATGACATTCGGCAAAATGACCGACCCAAACTGTTTCTATTGTAGTAAAATTCGAACAGTAAATATTGAATTAGCAGAAGAAACTTATAATCCACTTACCTGTGATACATTTTTAGGGGCATTTCTTGCCAATGTGGCAGCTAATCGTGCGGAAAGCAAAGACATTTTTTTGCCAGTCGCCCCAGTACTGAAAATTAAGTGACGAACAGTGAACGAGTAGACTGAACAAGGAGAACTGCGCACGATCGGAAGTATATATACTGACATCTGTTGGATATTTTAGGAATTTTCAACTGCATTATCCGTTTGTCAAATTATTAGAGGAGTACTTTATCTTTGTCGTTCTGTATGAATTCTACATATCATCTCTTTCTTGCAATTTTCTAACAGTTTTATGTTTATAAAAATTAAAGTACTTTTTTTGTAAGTCAGTGTTTTAATTTTAATAAGTTATGAATATATTTTAAGATATATCAATATATATGTTTATTTTTCGTTAAATTGTATTTTGTTGAGTGTAATTACGGCTATTTGACATCGTGCATTGTAAGAGTATATTTTACGAACAGAGCTCCGTTTTTGTTTTATCTGTCAAAACAAAAAGTCAAAACTCATTTTAACAACTTAGCAATTCATTGAGTAGTTTCAGTAGCATTTATATTTAAAATTTTGTAGGCTCATTGTTTTTTACATATATTGAGAGTATCAACCAAAACTATGGTAAGCAAAGAGTTTAAATATTTATTTCAACCTTATCCGGTGCATTATTAGCAGTTTTTGAGGTTATAGAGAATATTTGTTGCTGTGTCATTTTTAAATACTTTAAATTTATAAACCAAATTATTTTAGGCTCGTCGGTATGATACCAGAACTACAATATTTTCTCCTGAAGGTAATATATTTGATAGCTAATTATGTGTATTGAAAAACTAATGAAAATTTGGTTTCTAGGGAGGTTGTATCAGGTGGAATATGCCATGGAGGCTATTTCTCATGCAGGTACTTGTCTAGGCATTTTAGCAAATGATGGAATTTTGTTGGCTGCTGAAAGGCGTAACACTAACAAATTATTAGATGAGGTTTTTATTTCAGAAAAAATATACAAACTAAATGAGTAAGTATAAAAAAAACCTGTATCAAAATGTTTCTTTAATGTTCTTGTTTTTTTAGTGATATGGTTTGTAGTGTAGCTGGAATAACATCTGATGCTAATGTTTTAACAAACGAATTGAGACTTATAGGTCAACGATATTTATATCAGTATGGTGAATCTATTCCTTGTGAACAATTAGTTTCCTGGCTTTGTGATGTTAAGCAGGCATACACTCAGTATGGAGGTATTGTACAAGATTTATTAATGAAATTAATTATTTATTAATATTTTTTATTTAATGTTAAAGGTAAACGTCCATTTGGTGTTTCAATATTATATATGGGATGGGATAAGCATTATGGGTACCAGCTGTATCAGTCAGATCCCAGTGGCAACTATTCTGGTTGGAAAGCTACTTGCATAGGCAACAACAGTTCAGTAAGATTTTAGTTAAATCTGTTTGTAGATTTTTTTTTAATTATACTCTTTATTAAAGGCAGCAATTTCAAGTTTGAAACAAGAATATAAAGAGGGTCAGATGACTTTGAAGGATGCGAAGACATTAGCAGTGAAGGTTCTGGCAAAAACATTGGATATGGCAAAACTAACTTCTGAAAAAGGTAAGGCCGTTTGCCAATAAGCAAATTTTAAAAATTTTGAAAATATAAAAATGATAATCGTTCATACTGATTTATAACAAAATTTTAAATTTAGGTATACAGCAAAATGTTTGTATTTTGTATATTGAGTGCTTTTAGTTTTATTTTATTAAATAAATATTGATATAATTGCTTCACAATAGGGAAGAAATGATCATATTCACCAAACTGATATATTCCCATCTTCAACAATTATAATGAAAGATACTGATTGGAACCACTGCTTTTAAGTTTTTATGTATAAATACTCCACAACAATCAATTTATTTGCATTTTTTTTTTATAAAAAGAACTTTATTAATACTAGATATCAAACTTGTGGAGAATAAAAATGAACTATAGCTGGATGAAGTAATATAGATATTGTTAGATTTGTCATGTCACTAAGACTAAACCGGCTTGACCACAGAAAGAGTGCCAGATAATCGAGCTGTAAAAGTAATCCAGGGATGGAAACCCTAAAGGGCGCATTCATTACAGAGGCCATCGCCTGTATCCTCGCCTAGATTATAGCACTGACAGTGAAGTGAACGCTCACATTTAAAATAATGCATTTATTTTACCTGCCAATCGATACAATGGTCGCAGAGAGACTAGGTGGTCGGCAACCGGCAGTGTCGATTGTAGAGTACTAGGCTCAAGGACTGAAAAAGTACTAAGCTGGAATACTATGGTCCAAGTGTATGGTCCGATACCTGGCTCGAGGCTGGGCGCAGTGATTTGACAGTGAACACTGGAATTTTTAAACTCATGCATTTATTTCATGTGGCAATGATACTATGTTACCATCCTATGGTCGGTGCCTTCTTATGACTGCACACTAAGTACATAGGACAAAAGAAAGGCCCTGTAAAAAATGGGAAGACAATGTAGAAGATTTTAAAACAATGATCATCAGACGTAGGAGAAGGAAAGTATCTGACCCCAGGCCAAGACCCATAAGAGGATGTAGAGCCATTAGAAGAAGTTATTAAACTAAGAGACGGTTTTCTACATATAAACTTACATGGACATCATATTTAAAATGTCCAAATAATCATAATTGGATTGTTTAAATATTTAAGTGAAAGTTATTTTTTTTATTTTTCACTGTTTTAATCTTTTGTATTTTCTAGTGGAAATGGCTACTCTTACCCGCAAAAATGATAAAACTATGATCAAAATTTTAAGCGGCAAGGAAGTGGAGGAACTGATTTCAGAGTATGAAAAAAGTGAAGCTGCAGTAGAAGCTAGCAAAAAAGAGCAGAAAGCATCAGCTTAATTACTTTTATTTGGTATTGTTTAGGTTCTCTAAGTTATAAGTCATTGTCATAATGAATTAATGAATAAATGATTTTTATAAAGCTGAATTAGTTTGTTTTCTATATGAAAAGACTGACACAATTTTCCCTAGAATATTAAAATGAAAAGTTAGCATAAATAAATCTGTAAATACTATATCTCAAAACACTATACAGTATTTATTTAATGTATAAATCAGAGATGGGGAAACTTTTTCTTTTGTGTGCCAATATTTAGGAAAGCATTATATGGTGAGCCAAGCTGTTGCATTTTTGGTTATGGTGTGTGCTGAAATAAAAATATTAATTTTTTGAAAACATTTATATTGTGCAATATTACAAAATAAATGATTCAAATACGAAAGCAATTGTAAGTAAATAAAGTAATCCCGAGGTGTAACACCATCATGGCACAGGGGAGCAAATATTGCCTTAAGCGAAGCCTTAGAGAGCTGGCAAACTCTGGGGGATTATACTCTTAGCATAGTAACTGACAATATTTCGTCCCAACTCATGGGAACAAATATGGAGAAGAGATTGAAAACAGAATGGGAACAATAAGATAGGCGACTCCAGTCTTGGATTCTGTGTCTGTCCCTAATGCCCAGCCAGAAGGTGTTCCGAGAGGAACAGACTCTGTGTGAAGTAGCACAAAACGCCTCTGTGGAGCCCAAAAAATAAAGATAAGAGGCAAAAATACTGCTGGGACATGGACCACAGCAAATCCCCGTAAGTCCGAGAGTAAGATACCTCGGAAGAATACCATTACCCCTCTCCCCTCGCAACAAAGGTTGTTAAAATAGACCATGAAACTCTAATAAGCAGACTAGGTTACACAGCAATGTCACAACTAGATCAGGCTCAAGCAGACCTGATACTCAACAAACTGGATCGAGTAGTGAATGAAGCTCCTATTAGAAGTCCAAATCAACTTCTGCAGTTCCTTAAAACATCGTTTAGCACAGGGAGCATGTTAAAATAAGTTCCCACAAAAATTTGAAGACCCGGCACTTTATGGTTCAATTTCTATTCAAGGAGTCGCAGAGGAGGGACCCTATTGGTCACAATGTTAAATCTGGTACGACAATGTACGATTTTGACTCGAGGAAGATGGGCATAGCTAGCGGTCAGGAGAGCAATGCAGAGTCTGGGCGAGTAAACACAGTTACACTGTGATAAGGGATTTGATAACAGCGTCCTGAGAGCTAGGTAAACCAACATGGTTTTAAGTGGAAAATAAGCAGCCGAGTTTGAAGGATCACATATTGTTATCATCCAGGATAATCTGAAGTCCAGTTTTGGTATTTGATTTCTTCCAGGATTTTGTAACGAGTCCGACACTTCAATAATTCTTTAATCACTCTAAATAAAATTTTTAAATCCATATTCCCTTAATATTTTCTTAATTTTTAAATTCTAAGTTTGTATCAAACAGCGACTCCAAGCGGCCATTTTGGCAAACATGCTTAGCTGATTAGAAACGTGTGGTCACCGCGTACTTCTGCTCTGACTGCGGGTAAAGACACTTGGACTTAAAAAAAGTAGGTGGCCAGGGATGGTTTAGAAGTTGTTTTTAGAATGTTAAAGTTTTTTTGGGGAAGAAGTTGCAGGAAGTTTTGGTTTGTTTTTTTTTAGTGTCAATTAGTCACTGTTCGGCACATTTCTGCTTCTCTGTTTTTCGGTATATTGGAACATTCTTTGGAATTAAGTTTCTTTTCTGTTAATAAAACACGATAACTTATGACCTTTTATTAATATGCTTGCTAATAAATCGCCTAACTTATAACAATATTAACAAAATAAATATCTAGGCTTTACTATCTACTAAATGTAACAAATATGATGTGTATAATGATATGGATTTCTTGCATTACAGTTACATAACACACAAGCATTTTACTTTCAAATTAACAGTCATAATATTCCCTCTACCTTATCTTAATATTAATAGTTATACTTTCAGTAGATAACTTCGCTACCTTGATGTTCTTTGATTTGAAAAATACAAAAGTTTTACGGTTTTACAAGATACTACTTCCCCGTAGAAATTACTTAGTTACACGAACTGATTATACTCATCTAATTTAGATAACGACTTACGTCATTATCTACGTCAGAGATCGAAGTTGACATAGTTGCCAAAGTATAAAAAAATCCTGACTCCATTTTAAATCAAATAGGTCACATAATTATTGCACAAGTATTACCATCTCTTTACAACGACTATTTAAATTCTTACGTGACATTTTTGAAATAAAACACACTAATTTTGTTCTAAAAAGAACAGATTTTATTAAATAGGTAAAAATATAAAACAAGAGGTGTTCACTTTAAAATTCAAAATAATAAAGTACAAAAAGTGTCAACACCGCAACTGTCAAATAAGTATTACCAATTTATGCCAAAATTTTACCTTCGTTCGATTACAGTTACAGTGTGCTCCGAACAAATGTTCTTGATAAAAACTCTTTATAATGGATTTATACAAATTAAATGAAACATATTATTGTGTATTTCTTTAAGTTAACATTAATAGAAATTTTTAAATATTATTTCTACGCGTATATAATAAAATATGCCTAGTGGCTGTAATGCCAGTGTACTCGGTAAAGTGATTCTAAAAAGAACACACCTAAACCCTAAATATTTCGTGTTGGTATCATATGACGTCACAGGCTATGACGCCGATGACGTGCATCGTTATATAAATTAGATGAAGTGTATATGACCTTTAATTTTGGTTTTTTCATGTATTCCTAGTCTCGCGTATTTACATTTTGTCGCTCTTTTGTTTTAATTGAAATTATCAGCCTATCGCTTATGTTTGTGCAATTTTGAGGTATATTTATATTGTAGTTATTGCTTACTTTTAGAGAATACATGCATACGATACCAATAGTTAACCATATATTTTTTAAACAAATATGATGTTAACATTTACACACTATAAGCACCTGAGAACAACGATACTTTTTCAAGAAACAAAACGTTTCTTTTGTTACAATAAAAATGGGATTCGGCAGGAATAGTATACACAGCAACAACATATTCATTATATGAAAGTGTTATGAGGTAGGTCAGCATACCTTAATATAATTGGTGATAACAATGTAGAAGCCATTAAAATTATTTTCTCATCTCTATGTACATAAATGGTGTTTTTTTAGAGGAATAGAACCTTAAGTGATGAATCGTTTCACGCTTATTGGCGTAGGGATCTACCCTACATAAAATAGTCTAGCAGTGTCAAATCGCACGATCTTGGAGGCCAATTGACGGTCTGAAATGTAAAACTATGCGGTTACCAAACGTTTCCTTCAATAAATCAATTGTGGCACGAACTGTGTGCCATGTTGCGCCGTCTTATTAAAATGACAACTTCTACACATTATGGTTGATCAGTTGGGGAATAAAAATGGCAATAATCGTGGTTCTATAGCGGTCACCATTGACTGTAACGTTCTAGCCAGCATCCTTTTTGAAGAAGTACGGTCCAATGACTTCACCAGACCATAAAGCACATCAAACAGTCAGTTTTTCTGAATGTAATGATTTCTCAGCATACATTGGAGAATTATCTTAACTCCAAATAGGGCAGTTTTGTTTGTTGACGTAGCCATTCAACCAAAAGTGAGCTTCATCGCTAAACAAAATTTGCTTATGAAAATCGGAATCAACAGCAATCTCGTTTTGGACTCACTCACCGAATCTACGCCTTGCTAGTTGATGATGTACCTTCAGTTATTGCGCGATTAAATGAGTTAGATTTTTTAAGCACGCAAAGCAAGATCTTTCACCGAAAATTTCCATAAAGTGGATGGACAAGTATCCACCCTTTACAACTCAATATATTTATTAAGGGACCTGTATCATGTGTCAATTTCGAAAAAAAAAAAAACAAAAATTGGAAGGATGGGTTTCTCATCTCGGGCTACGAACGGAGCCGTGAATCGCAGATGTGTGAAAAAAATAAAACCCATTGTACCAGCAGATTGCGCGACCACAAACTAAGTAGAGTCAGAGAACTACAGTAGTAAACGCAGCTGCACTTATGTTTGTTAATAAAATCGGATTGAATCGAATGGAATCGGGTTGCAATCCCATTCGATTCAATGAAAAATGAAATGAAAACCACCCCTCCACATCCTCCACCATTGCGGAGTGCGACATCCCGTTTTTTTTTTATTAATTTTCAACATCTTATAAATTCAAAATGGCAAATTTCCTTTGGCTGTCCCAAAATTGGCGGCGACCTTGACTTTGTACTAAGGAATTATCTGAAATATAAAATTCACAAAGATTTTTGTTTAATTCACTAGTAAGTATAGTTTGAACTAAAAAAAAAACAAGTTAAGTAAAGAAATGACCGAATGGCAGCAGTTTAAAGACAAAATTATCGATTTTTTTTGAAATTTTTTATACAACCGAAAAAGGTAAAAAAATTTAAAATTATACCGTTATTTTAGTTCATACTTAGTTAAAATTTCATAAAGATCGGTCAAAGTTTTTGAGAAATCGTGGTCACCGTATGTAAAAAAGTGATTTTGAGAAAAACGTGTTTTTTGTTTCACTGTGTCCTTTATTTCTTCTTTTTCTATTTATGTAGTCCTCCAGCCCAAGTTTTTTGAGTACTTTGGTGATTGATATTTTGAACACCCATAATATTTTAAGAATTCTTCTATAAGTCCACATCTCAAGTGCCGCCAGTATCTTTCGGGCCGTATACCAAATGGGTCCAGACATACAAAAACATATTTGCAACACACTACTGCAAGTGAAAAATCATTCAATCATGTGGAGTTACGATAGTTTTCGCTAACAAGTCGAGTCTTAATGCTGAAGTTAACGACATATTTTAGAGAACCGCTGAATTGTATGTATTGTATTAACGATTGTATGTTCCTTATCAGTGCGTCGTCACTGGGACACTGAGTAATCCAATCTGGGGATTGTTGACACTTACGAGTTTTCCTGTAATAAGTATCCTGCTTAAGTCTGGAGCATGCACGTGCTTTTCCCCTGCTCTCGGGAACAAGGAATTTTAAATAATTCTTTTATTAGAAATAATT